CTTTCGGAACAACCAAGGGAGTGTTTTTTTTTTCCCACAAAGTTGTGTGTGCATGTCGGCGTGTTGTTTTAAAAGCCACCCAATGGTAGGGTTTAGTTTTGTTTTGCTCCGCCGCTCCTGTTTGATGTCGAAGCGGGCCGTGGCGGGAAACAGTACTGTAGCTGCGGGCACACGCGTACCATGCCCACAGTTGCACTGAGAATCATGACGCATTTTTTGGTCTCGGCGACCGCTGCTTGTGTGCCCCCCGATGGCAGCACTCGTGGTATACCTCAAGCAAAGCTTGTACAGATGTTTTCGTGATCAGCACCAGCTGTCATCACTGCTAATAGTTCAGTGATTGAGTGCGTAGGCTTAGGTAGACTCAACACACGCTTTTTCTCTCCCTCTCACTGCAAAGGCTTTCAACACATACCCGTTCGACTATCTGTGTGGTACACAGTGTCATCTCGAATGAGTAGTAGTCGATCGTACGCATGTCTATATTTCAGCCCCGCGACGGGCAGGTGGCGGTGGCAAGACTTTCCTAGTTGACACTGCGAAGAGGAGACGTCAATCGGAGCTCTTGCGCGAGCCAGGCGAAGGGTCGACGTTAACGTCTTGCATTGAGGGGGGTGTATCCCGCCGCTTCGCTCACAGCGCTCCGGTTCTGTGCTCTCCGCACCCGAGAGCTGAAGCATTACTGTCTACACGTCTAATGGATTGGAGCTCCTCCCTGGCAGAAATGCTGTGGCAGTGATCGCTGATTTACGGTAATGGAATACCAAATATCAACTCAATATTGCGTCCCCAAAACTGAAAATTAAGAAACCCAAAACAAAACACATGGTTAATATTCAGCTGTAAGTCTACACACAAGAGTACCCCTGTTAATGCCATTTTTATTTTCTGGGGTCGCGTTTTTGTTGTATTCTATGGCCCCAGTTTCCAGCCGGTTTCCCTCCCCTCACTGAAAAGACTTCAGCACACCCCTTTCGACTGTGGTTATATGTATCTCGAACGGGTAGTCTTTGTGTGAGGTTATGCATACCTTGTGTAAAGCTCGCTCCCCCCCCGGCCACCTAACCTTCCGCTCGTGCGCAGAATTCGCGGTGGTTAGACTTCGTGGGAGCCCTCCTGAGCGGGGCTTCGGACGTGGCGGAGTACCTCGAGGCGGGAGATCCGGTCCTGGTGCACTGCAGCGATGGCTGGGACAGGACGTCTCAGCTCACGGCTCTGGCGCAGCTTCTGCTGGACCCGTACTACCGCACCATCGAAGGCTTCCAGGTGTGGTGGTGGTGTTGGGGGGGGGAGGGGGGGTCGTGGTGGTGGTGGGGGGTGTTGTTGTTGTCGTTGTCGTTGTTGTTGTTGCTGTTGTTGTTGCTGCTGTTGCTGTTGTTGTTGTTGTTGTTGTTGTTGTTGTTGTTGTTGTTGTTGTTGTTGTCGTCGTTGTCGTTGTTCATGCTGTTGCTGTTGTTGATATCTCGGCTCGCGTGCAT